AATGCTACGGTCGAAATAACGTGGCTCGTAGACGTCCGAACCTCGCAATAACAACGGGCCTTCAAATTCTATGAAAATCGGTTAATAAAGGCTACCCTAGGCAAAATGATCAAAGGCCTTCGATAAAATCAACCCTCGAAAAACAATAAGAGGTATCGAATTATTCAAATACAAACTTATGCTAAGGCACAAAAAACAAAAGGTTTCCAATCGAGACTAAACCCTCAAAAAACTCAATGGGTAAAAAATGCATGCCAATGCATAAAAAAAAATTTATTAAATCTTTTAAGACGAAAAGGGAAAATTATAGCCATCTTTCAAGGCCATATCGGCCCAACCTAAAAGAACCTAAGTGCCAAAATATTTAGAGTTCAATACCTTGTTCTCACTCAACTCGGGCCTAAGGGTCCCACCATTCCGAGCTCGTATCAAATCGACTTAAGCATAGCTCGAGGATTCATCCAAAAAATTTAAGAGGTATTCTATTCTAAGTTCAAAGATTGCCCATTGATTACTAAAAACCTAAAGGGTTTGTTTTACTTTGGAGTCTTAGCTAGTGCTAACTCGATTATTGAAGTCATAACATCAAAAATTTCACAAAACGAAAACAAAGCAGACTCTACTACAAATCGGATATGGAGCGGAAAGAAAAGGAATTCTTTATAAACATAAAAGGTATTTACAATTCCCACAAGGGGCCTTACACAAAAAACAAAAAACAAAATCCTAAGGGCCTAGTCTACTTTGGGAGCCGCATCGTTGGGAGCCACATCTTCGGGAACCTCCTCCTCGGGGACTTCATCCTCATCTCCTCTGCTCTCAGAGCTACTAGAAGAGTCTTCATCATCGGAGAGTAAAGTGGCAGCTTCGTCCTCCAAAGTTTTTGCCTTTTCAATATCTGTTGAGAGGTCAAAGGCACGAGCATGCACTTCTTCGAGAGTTTCTCTCCAGGATTATCGCCTGGCGTGAACGACAGCACACGAAAATTTGACTTCAGTAGCAATAGTGATCTCCTTTGCCCGAATATTGGCAGCCTCGGCATCAGCTCGATAAGAGGCCACTAATGCCTCCACCTCAGCTTTAGCCTTTGCAAGCTCGGTGACTGATTTAGCTTCGAGCTCCTCAATATTTTGGCTCTGGGCCAAGCATTCCCCCTTTAAATTTTGAAGTTGGCATTCGATCGAAGTCAGTTGGGCCTGAAGCGAGTCTTTCTCTGAGGCAAGACGATCCATATGCTGCTTCCACCCCAGGGTCTCGGCTTCTTTTGCCTTGATCTCCTCTCCAAGTTGCTCCACCACTTTGCCCTTCAGCTGGGTCCGAAAAGTCGAAGTTTTAGTCACTAAGTCAAATAAACATATGACCAACTCCCAAGAAGTTTCATTACCTGCTCTATGAGTTTAGTCTGTTCTCGATGAGCCTTTGTCAGATCGGCTCGAAGGTCTCTGATCTCCTTCTCTTTTTGAACATAGAGGAGTTTGAGGCTATCCCTCTCTTCTACGAGCTTCTTGATTTTGGCCTCGCATCGGGCAAGCTCGGCTCGAGATTTAGAAAATGCTTGTCGATAAAGCGTCCCAACCTTTACACAAGGAAAAGAAGTCAGACTCAGAGAAACAAGAATAAAGCATGAACATAATTATGAAGGAAGAAACTCACTTGTTTCTGAAGACTTTGAGCCTCATCGAAAATAAAGGAAGTATCCGGGTGGGGCCATCTTTGACCCCCGCAAAGCATTCCTGGCAAATATCATTCCCTTCGCGGGTCATCCCCACGTCAGGAGTCTTCTTGGCCCAGGCATCTCAGAACTTTCCTTCAGAGAATGTTGGGCCGGGCGGCGATTTATCTAAACTAATTATCCCAAGTGATTCACTTGGGACATTCTCTTCTCTTTAAGAGGCCTCGGGATTGGACCCTTCAGGCTTACCCGCCAAACGTAGTTCACGACAAGGTGAGCTTCTATCACCCGATGGCTCGGGACTCTGCTCGAGCTCCCCTCTAAGATTTCTTCAGTTTGAGATTAAACCACATCGTCCATCACTGGTTAAGCGACATTTGAATCTTCAGTGTTTCCCCTCTTCCGAGTTACCAACAGGCAGTCGACATTCTCTCCTTTTTCCTCTCCTCCCGAAGCTGTTGGACTGCATCAGCAGACCGGGCTGCAGGGTCGGCCCTAGGTTTTTGAGCCCTATTTCTCCTGAGCTTCGGGGTACTTGGAGGCGAGTCTCATTTCCTCTTCTTCACTTTGGATGGCTTTGGGATCTCCTCTTCACCTGGCGGAGGCGGCCTCATAGCAACATAATCTTTGAGGCCTGCATAAAGAGAAAGTAGGTATTTTACAGAGAAACATCAACATATGAACAAAGGAACTCACCATTTTTTTTAGCTTCCCACCGACCCTTAGCCAAATCACGCCAACAACGCTCAGCGTGAGAAGAAGTGGAGGCCAGTTGTCGAACCCAACCGGCAAGGTCCGGAATCGCACCAGGAAACCAAGGGGAGGATGCACTGTCGAAAAGAAATTATATTAAAGAAGAGTAAAAGAAAGCAAAATACAGAGCATCCTCGACGGAGTTGTACTTACATTATGTTCCATTCCACGCGGAATAGAATCCTCTCGGCATGAATTAGGTTAGAGGTATTGATTCGGATGAACAAACCATCCATCCTTGGTCCTTATCCTTATCAATGCTCGAGAATAACATCTTCGTAGACCGACACTGGAGTTTTATCAACCCACCTCGATAGAGGCGAGGGCTTTATAGCCTGATCAGATGGTCGAGGTAAATGACATCCCCTCGACCTTACTTAAAAAATACCGAAGCGGAAGAACAATATGCCAGAAAGAGGGGTAGATCTGTCCAAGGCTCACCCGATATTGTTGACAGAAATCGAGTATGACCGGATCTATGGGACCTAGTGTGAAAGGATATGTATACACACTTAAGTATCCTTTCACGTGGGTAGTGATGTCCTCCTCTGGAGAAGGAATCACCACTTCCTTGTTCTCCTAATTGCAGTCCACTTTCACCTGCTTGTGATCGTCTTCAGATATTGAGCAGATGTATTAGGACATGGGTTCACATCTGCCTAGAACTGATGGAGGTTTATCGACTTTGAAATCGGAGGTTAGCTCGCATGGCCCTGGAACGCACTCCTCGATACGAGGTTCCACTGGCGTCCTACCACCGGCCATCCGCGATAATGAGGAGGCTTTTTCTTTCTGAGGGATAGTATTAGATGTTTTAGCCATCACTGTCGTAGAAAGAAAGAAGAAGAAGTTGATATTGAGAGAAGCACAAATTAAAAAGGAGAATGGAATCAAAGAAGACAGAAATGCTTGTAATGATTTGTGAAAAGGTTTGTAAAGATTGTGAGGATTGAGAAATGGACGTATTTATAATGGTTGCTTCAATAGTTTGGGGAAGCTAATAGCCGACCAACAGCTGCCTTCTATTAATGACATTGGGAACTATGCAATGTGACCCTTCAGTCACTTCTGTCGCTGACGTTATGGGATTAACGTCATTATCGAGGCATCGTAGGACCAAGGATCAAAATGTTTCTTATTATTTTATTCTAAGAAACGCGAGGACTATCTGTATACGGTCAAAATCAGGTATGCCCGATTTGGTGGGCTCGAGGAATCGCTTCAAGAATAAGATCGAAATAGACTAGGCTCGAGCCTGAGGGCAGAGTTCGAGGCTTGAAGATCGAAGTGCTTGATGAATATCGAGGTCGAATATTACCAGCCTCGAGATAATGACGTTGTGTTTTTGCAACAGGAAGAGCAAGATTTCCACAACGGTCCCAAGATCATTGCGTAAATTCCGGAATGGATTTGTACGAGTTTGTACTGATTTGTACTAGGCGGTTAGACAGTTGTCCCAATAAGATTCCCTACTAAATATGAAAATGTACCTTATTAAGGATTCCCCTATTACATAAAAGGAAGCCTATTCATTTGTAACGGAATCAATCATTGAGAAGAGAATATACATTTTCACTTTCTTGCCTACTATTCATCTGAATCGTCTTATTATTATTTTATTATTCTTGTTGTTCTTGTTCATTTACCTCGAGGTCGCCCTTGCTCGAGGTCGAGGTCTGCTTACACGATCAGTTTGACTTGCCTTACTCTTAAATTTACACATTAGACTCCTTGTTTATCAATTAGTATTGGATTAAATCATATATCATTAAAACTACAAAACAAATTAAATCACATATTTTCATATGCTTCGAATTGTTCAAATCTATTTTGAAGTGGAAAAATAGCATTGTCCATTATGTATAAAAGTAATCAACTCTAAAAGGACTTTTCGAAAGATTTTGAGATTTCATTATCAACATTCACATCAAATTATTACTTCCTATGTATCACACGCTTCTTACGAAATTCGAGTTCGATATTCATTTCAAGTGCAATTTTCTTGGTAGAAATCATAGCAGTTGCAAATCCTTCTTCTCTATATTTATTAAAGAAAGAAATCAAACTTTTTTACTTTACAGAACTCTTTTTAAACTTATACATAGTCTATTAGGTGTAACAAAAAATGGACCTCCACAAATATGGGGTCTAAAGCGGTTGTTTTACTTGTTTTATGGATGGGCCGCCCCTGGAGACCTTTTCCAAAATAAAATACGACGAGAACAGGTACTCAAGACGTATAGAAGAATATGTTTGAGAGCAAGGAGGTGAGAGAAACTTTGATTGAAATTTAGATACACAACACATATAATAGGAAATATCAATGCGAGTGAATGTTTATTTGTTTGTCATGATGTAACAGACTAACAAGTTAATTACAATGATTTGTTTGCAAGTTATGATGTAATTATAGCGTAGTTCTCTAGTGTCGTATTTCATTGCTAAGTGTAATTAAGTTAGATGTAACTTTATTTTAAATAAAAGCTAAATTATAGGGAAGGGATAATTTCACACACCTTTTATGAGGTTTCGGCTTGTAACACATACAGAAGAATTTAAGCGCTTAGAATCAGTATATCAATGTGTGTTTCCATATTAACATAGAACTTAAAAGTTGATATACTGAATCCAAATTATTGATGGCATTGACTGGTGGTGGCCGGCACTAGATCTTTAGCATTTAGCTTCCCACATAAGTCAGGAAAACAGATACTGCACAATACAGAACTGAAAGCAAAATTCTACAGTATTATAGTCATTTTATAAAATATACATGATTCCTTTCATTATAATAATTTTTACTCCCTCCGTTTCAATTTACGTGAATCTATTTGATTGGGCCCGGAGTTTAAGAAAAAATGAAAACTTTTGAAATTTGTGGTCTTAAACAAGTCAAAAGGGGGGTCCAAAGTATTTGTGTGGTTATAAAACCTTTTGATCAGAGTAGAATTGTGAGTTTAAACTAAATTGTTTCCAAATATAGAAAGGAGTCATTCTTTTTAAAACGGACCAAAAAGGAAATATGTTTACATAAACTGGAACGGAAGGAGTAACAAAAAGTTAATTTTTGTTGGTTTCCATTTTCCATCAAAATGGAATAACAAAATTTGAACTCTGGATCGTTCTGTCTGCTAAATTCTATGTTACCCTAGTTTTTCAAGCAAGAACCGAAGAGTTGTCACCATTGATCTCTCTTTTTGATTTGATACATTCCGTTTGACCATGTTTTGCAACAAGCATCTCAAAGCTTTCAAACGTATGCTCCAATTCTACAATCTCCTCTTGGACATCAACCAAGGACATGTTCTCCGACGCGATTCGCTCTCTTAACCGGTGGATTCTGTTGAGCCCGGATTCAATTTTAGCTCCTATTTCCTCGAAGGTTGAACGCATCGCTGTGTTATCCTCATACGCATTCTTCCAATTCCTCTTCATGGATTGATATCCATCAAGTAACCTGAGTAGTTGCTCAGAAAGTGCCCTATTCCTGTCTTGAATGGCAACATTCCCTTGTTTTCCTCCATTGCTATTATAGTTCCTATCTTTTTGCTCTATGCCACATCCATGTAATCTTTCCACTAAACACTCATTCTTCTCTCTTAATTCATTTATAAGATCCTCCATTTCATTCAATTCATGCACACTCTTTGATAACTCTGCTGCCATAATTTCTTTCTCTTTTCCTAAACTTGAACACATGACCTCGAGGCTCTTCCGTGCTACCAAGCTCGCGTTAAGCTGACTCTTTAATCTTTCTTTTTCATCGATCATTGGCTCGTGCTGCTTCTTGTCCTTAGGCACATTGCTAGTAAGCTTAATATCGGTGTAACAACGCCTTAGTTTACATTCTAACGATCTCTTGTCACCAGAGGATTGACATTTCTGAATTCGTGTCCTAACATTATCCAGAATGGTCATCATCGTCGCCACCCTCAACATTCTCAGGCCATCGGTGCTACCTTTGTTACAAGCATCTTTGTGATCTTGAATTAGCTTTAGCAATAACTTAAAATTGGCAGCAACGCCTAAAAGCAGAAAATAATTGAAAAAACACTATAAGAAAATATGATCATATCATTAAGTCTACTTAGGACACTGCATAATGGAGTAGTTGATTATATGAAATTAACATTTATGTTTTAGCATTGAACTTTTTCATCTGAACCAATGTAGGCCATGAACTTGAAAATCCCCCACCCCTTCCACCCCCAAAATAGAGAGGAAAAAAAAACATGAAAATCCAGGAAAAATGGTGCCTAGCATTTTTATTTCTTGGTTATGAAAATCTTAATTCCATTTTATTTTCATTCAAAATGGTGATCACCCATAAAAAAACAAGAACGGTGCCATCAAACAGAAAAAGAAGAATATAAATTTAACCACCCCAAAAAGGGTAAAAGCAAAAAACAAAGGAGGAATTACCTTCTAAAGCTGAATCATCATACGATTGTTCTGAGGTTGAAGGAGGAACAAAATCATGAAATGAATTAACACGAAGACTGCTCATGGTAAACGTCTCAAATATTAAATTAATTCTCTCAATAAACAAAGGTACGAGGGAAATGCCGAAATGAGAAGAAAAGAGGATTCTTGTACAAACGTCTGTATTAGAGAGATTCAAAGAAGAGAGGTTTCTTTGCGGCTGTTCCTCTCTTCTTTCTTTTTACTCTCTTCTCTTACATGAGCTTTTTAGTTCAGTCCTTTATAATTAATGCTTCTTAGCCATCTTTAATTTCTTCTCTTTAATATTCAAATGTATTTGTTGGTGTTAGATCATCAGAAAATGGTTGGCTCATAAAGTTATTGTTGCTTAATTGTTGGCAATTCTTTAACATATTCATTGGCTCATTGTTGCTTTGACTTCTTTGGACAAAAGCTGTTGGCTTCATCTAATGAGTCCATACTCATACATTAATTTATTTTCTCCTAAGCCCGCATAATATGAAGGATTTAAGGTGTATATCATAATGCTATATTATAAGCGTTAACATCTCAAAGGAAGATTGAAATACCAAAATTTGCTTATCAAACAGAGTGACTCTATTGTCCTTCTATTAAATATTTTTTATACAATAGTTTTTGTCACGGCCCGAAATCTCAACCGTAACGTCGTGATGGCGCCTAATATCCACACGATAGACAAACCAACATTAGCTAATTAATTAATAATTTTTAACAATTTAAAAGCAGAACCTTAATATTACAAAACTAAAATAAACTAAATTATAGTTGCCTAAATATACCCCAGAAATCTGGAGCCACGAATACATGAGTCACTAGAGTACTACAAATAAAGTCTGAACAAAATACAATTGTTTCTAATACAAGTAAACAGTAAAGACAGAATAAAAGGGGACTTCAGGGACTACGAACGCTAGTAGCTCTACCTCAAGTCTCCTCTGCAAGTCGATTCGGGCAAAAACTCCTCTATGCGTCGATGGGACCAACACCAGGATCTGTATAAGAAGCACAGAAGTGTAGCATGAGTACAATCAATCTCATATACTCTGTTAGTGCAGAGCCTAACCTCAACGAAATAGTGACAAGACTATGACAAAATACTCACAATAAACTTGTACGAATAATAACAATTGAATATAAAATTATAGATAAAATAGTAAACTCATATAAACGGGCCTGAAAGTCAACTACCGGAGGGCCCTAGAATAATATGTTCTCAAATCTCATATCACAATATCAGAATTAACTCTACAACAACAAACAACTACAACACATCATATTTCGTTGCGGCACGCAACCCGGTCCACAATTATATATCAATAACAAATTTCCTCCGTTATGGTGCGCAACTCGATCCACAAATATATGTATAGATACCGTTGCGACATGCAATTCGATCTCAAATAGTAATACCAATATCTGGTGCGGTGTGTAACCCGATCCCACACCAACAACCATTGTAGTGTGTAACCCGATCCCATGATCAATAATACCAATAATTATTGCGACGTGCAACCCGATCCCAAACAATAACGGATAAAGCCATGAATTTAACAATTAAAGGCAAGTAACAATTGAAGCATTTAATAAGCAATGACATGGATTTAATGAAGGCATGAAATAATTGAAAACAATAAATAAATATCTCAACCTGCATGCTTTATCCCATGACGACGCATATATACTCGTCACCTTGCATGTATGTTGTTTCCCCGCATACTTTTACATAACAAATAGACCAACAAGTCCTAATTCCCTTAAATCAAAGTTAGACACGATACTTAGCTCACTCCGCAACCAAATTAATCAACTAACAACGGCCTTGCCTTTCGAACAATCGAATCTAGCCAATTATCGGTCAAAAAATTTAAAATAAGCTTAAGAAACTATCCATGAAAGAAAAAGGTTTAATCTTTGATGAAATTGAAAAAGTCAACAAAAGTCAACTCTGAGATCGCTTGATCAAAATCTCAGATCCGGACTAAAATTCAATTATCCATTCACCCTCAAGCCTGGATATGTGATTTGTTCCGAAATTCGGTCTCAATTTGAGGTCTAAATCTCATTTTTATGAAATATCTAAATTCAACTCCAATCCCTAATTTCTACCATTGAAATCCTAGGTTTAATGTTAAAAACTCATGAAAAAGAAATTAGGAACTGAAAGAAAGTGGATTGGAGTTGCTTACTAATGATTTTGGGAGGAAACGCTCCTTCAAAAATCGCCTCTAGAGTGTTTGGGGTTGAGAAATGGTGTAAAATGAGCTATGTCAGGATTTTCCCTCTTTTACCCAGCCGCATGTATTGCAATTGCGAATCTTTGTTCGCAATTACGATCACCGCAAATATGGAACATTGGTAGCAAATACGAACAGTGCATTAGATCACCCAACGTCGCAAAAGCGACAAAAGACTTACAAGTGTGAGGAGTCCCCTCATCGCAAATGCGAGATGCGAAGTTGCCAACCCCCCAGTTGCTAATCGAAAAAGTGACACTATGGTCGTAAATGAAACCATTCTCTATCTACAAATGAGACAATTTTCTTCATAAATACGAAGACGCAGTTCTCCGCCCAAGCTTGCAAATGCGATTGATTCACTTAAAATAGAAACGTTCACCCTCGAACTGACATAGAAATGTATCTGGATTGGTAAAATGTCAGGGTTAAAAACTCCACATATCAGAATCAGATTCCCACATAGCCTCAAATATCAGATGACCCCTTCATTGCACCTTCACAGAAAGGAAACTCTTGGATCTCAACTTGCAAACCTACCGGTCTAGAATAGCTACCGGCTCTTCCTCATAAGCCAGTTTTTCATCAAGTTGCATTGTGCTGAAGTCCAAAATATGCGAGTTGTCCTCATGGTACCTTCGAATCATGGAAATGTAAAATGTTGAATGTACCCCTGGTAGGCTAGAAGGAAATACAATCCAATAAGCAACCTCCCCAACTCTCTCCAAAGTCTCAAACGGGCCGATAAACCTCGGGCTCAACTTGCCTTTCTTCCCAAACCATATCACAACCTTCATAGGTGACACTTATAGAAGAACCTTATCTCCCACAATATAATTTACATCTCGAACCTTCTGGTAAGTATAACTCTTTTGCCTGGACTGGGCTGTAAAAAGTCCCACATTAAAAAATTTCAAGGCATCATAGACCAAATTAGTGCCTAACGGTCTAGCCTCTCTGGGCTCAAACCAACTAATCAGCGAACGACATCGCCTCCCATATAATAACTCATACGGAGCCATTTGGATCCTTGTCTGATAGTTGTTGTTGTAGGCGAACACTGCTAGAGGTAAGAACTGGGACCATGAATCTCCAAAATCCATAGCACAGGCATGTAATATGTCCTCCAAGATCTAAGTAGTGCACTCGGACTGCCCGTCTGTCTGAGGATGAAATGTTGTACTCAGATCGACCCGCATGCCCAACTCAAACTACACGGCTTTTCAAAAATGCGATGTGAACTGTGTGCCTCAATTAGAAATATTGGAAATAGGCACGCCATGGAGGAGGATAATCTCCAAGATCTAAATTTGAGCTAATCGCTCTAAAGATTAGGAAGTCGCCATTTAAATAAAGTGTACGAACTTAGCCAACTGGTCCATAATAACCCCGACTGTGACATATATCCTCAAGGTCCGTGGTAAGCCTGCCACAAAATCCATAGTGATGCGTTCCCACTTCCACTCCGATTTTTCCAAACTTTGAGTTAATCCACCCAATTTTCGATGTTCATACATCACCTGTTGATAATTCAAACACCGAGATACATAAGCAACGAAATCTTTCTTCATCCTTTGCCACCACTAGTGTTGTTTCAAATCACAGTACAACTCTGTGAAACCTGGGTGAATGGAATAACGTGAACGGTGGGCCTCCTCAAGGATCAATACCCTCAACCCATCAATATTTGGAATACAAACCCGTCCTTGAAGCTGTATAACACCATCATCTCCAATCACAACCTCCTTAGCACCACCCCATTGCATCGTGTCTTTCAACACCAACAAGTGAGGTGTAACGACCTGGCCGGTTGTTTCATGAGTTACCACTCCGTTTCCCCCATTTCTGCTTCTTTATGTCTTGTTCAGTTGTATTATGTGGTGTCGGCTTGGTTGGTTGGGTTCGAAGTGGTTTTGGAAAGGAGTGAGACACTTAAGCTCTTTTGAGTAAGCTTAAGTTGGAAAAGTCAATTGTATGTTGACTTATATGAAAAAGGTCTCAGATGTAAATTTTGAAGGTTCGGATAGCTTCATTAGGTGATTTGGGATTTAGGAGCGTGATCGAATGTATTTTGGAGGTCTGGAGTAGATTTAGGATGGAATTGGCAAAATTGGAATTTTAATGTTTTTCGGTTAGTAGTGGAAATTTTGATATAGGGGTCGGAATGAAATTCCGAAAATTAGAGTAGGTCTGTTGTGTCATTTCGGGCATGCGTGCAATATTTTGGGTCATTCGGACGAGGTTTGATAAACTTTTTAATCGTTTGCGGGATTCAGAAGTTTTGGAATCCTTAATTTTAAATTCGAGAGTGATTTGGTGTTTCGGCGTTGCATTTAGTGTTCCGAGGGTTGGTACAAGTTTGAATACTGGTATGTGACTTATTCGTAATTTTGGTTGAAGTCCCGGGTGTCTCGGGATGGATTCGGAAGGTTGACGGAAGATTTGGAATTTGAGTGGAGTTGCAGAACTTTTCTACTGCTGTTGTTTCCGCACCTGCAGATTGGTGACAGCAGGTGCGACACCGTAGATGCGTAGAAGAGGTCGCAGAAGCGGATTTGGGTCAGTTGGAGCTTGGCCGCAGATGCGGTGTGTTGGGCGCATCTGCGGGTCCGCAGGTGCGGTTCCTAGATGCAGATACGGCCCTGGGGGATTTAACGAAGAACCGCAGATGCAGTTTTCTTGACCATAGATGCAGTCCACAGATGCGAGTAAAAAGGCCGCAGGTGCGGTATCGATGGGCAGAAAATATAAATAGGTGCCTTCGCGAATTTTTGGCTTATTGCATCAATTTCTCATACGGGTTTGAGCTTGTAGGAGCATTTTGATGAGGGAATTCAAGGGAATTTCATGGAGGTAAGATTCTTGGAACTAAAACTCATTTCTATGGTGATATTTTACTGATTAGGCATAGAGTTTATGGAAAATTAGAGGTTAAACTTAGGGGTTTAGGGTTTGAAATTGGAAACTTTGATTTAGGGATTTGAGGGGTCATTTGTGTCGGATTTTTGATTTATTTGGTTTGTATA